TCTTCTCATAAGAGCAGGGTGTTAGCTCCAGCGTCATGATCACATCCCAGTATGGTTAATTACAACAGGACGCCTGTGGAAACAACTGTGAGGGTGGGGTACATTTTTTAGGGTGTTATCATTTAAGTAACCCTATTTGTTTCTTAACTCCACAACATTAGCAACAGAGCTGATCTGAAAATGGTAACAGTGAACAATTTAGAAAGAATGAAATAATTAGTTCCTACCCCCCAAAGGAATTATATAACTTTACTTGTTTCAAACAAAAACAGAACAGCAAATCAGTCCATGGTTTTCAAAAACAAATAATTTTTTGGTTGTCTGTAAAATTTCAGTTCTCAAAAACCAGAACTTTCTACCAAAAGTTGAACATTTTTCAGTTTTAAAAAACCTGAATATTACCTTGATTTTCAAAAAACTGATTTATTTATTTAGATGAAAAAATGGAAAATTTTAAATGAAATGAGAATTTGTTTAGAAATACAAGCTCTTATGTTTTTAAAAAGTTGAGAGAAGGTTTTCAACCCCTTTGAGTTAGCAATATTTTGGATTCAGGGACGTGGATTTTCTTGTTGTACACTCTCAACAAGAAATCCCAGGTATCGTTCATTAATTATACAGTATTGTAAAAAACCATAGGGTGCAAACAGGAACATTTAAAATTCAAAAAACCTGCTCTTAACTTTAAGAGACTCCCTTATTTCATCTCTCATTATTTGCAGCGCCACAGCTGGTGTGAAACGGCACTGGCTCACTGACTTCAGTGGAGACATGCACAGTTTGGCACATCCATTTCTTCTGAAATGCAACATGGCAAAGTGGATGAAAATTAGACCTGGCAAACCAGAGTCCTATGTTCCACTCCCAGCTCCACCTGACTGACCTGGTGCAAATTCCCACCTGGAAGATGGTGAAAAACAGTTGCTTCTTCCTATAGTCTGTGGCTTTGTTAATAATAAGGGTTACTGTACATAAATACTAACAGTAATCAGTGGAAAAGCTAGCATTAGAACTCCATGTCTGCTGGTCTGTTGCTCGGTGCATCATCCTGTAAACTACAGAGCACGGTGCAAAAAAAAGGTCTCTCTTGGTGGCTCAGGTCACCATGTAAACCAATACATACAACACACATGCCCAACACTTGTGTATATGCTGAGATGCATAACATTTGTTCTGTATTTCAACCACTCTAGCAGTTCCTCAGCTTCTTTGCAGGGCACCTTCACTTCCAATTCAGCACTTGCTCTGTCAGGCTGCAGTGTGCCAGATAGTCGCCTCAAAGACTCAGCTCCCTTCACTTGCTCTGACAACTGCGTGCAAGTGTTTCTGGGACAGATCTCTGGCCAGCAGAACAGAAGTGGCCCTGTACTGCTCCCACAGATGAAGCAGAGCTGGGGAGGGGGACAGATTACTGCTCTCAGCAGATGATTGGGAGGCACCCATAAAGCTCCAGAGGTGGAAGTAAACACCCCCAAAACTCCAACATTAGCAGCAATAGGGAGCAAAGACCACTGGGCTCACCTCTCTGAGGGCATCTCAAATAATTAGTAAGAGCGAATAGGGTGGTACCAGGGTGGGAGAGGGGCTGCTCACATCCGGCTATTGCATTCTGGGACATGGGGTTTCCACGGGGCACACCCGCTCTATGAAGAGGAGATGGCTATAACTTGTGCCGTTCTGTGGAAGTCAGGTGTGGCCTTTAGCCTCCTAGTTTGCTTAGGTATTTTATGGTCGTCCCCCGCCCACACCTATGCTGTAGCACAGTAACTGAGCCCCTCCCAAAAACTGTTCCCCATGCCCCTTTGAGCTTGGGAAGTGTTATCCATTTTACAAACAGGAGTGCTGCCAGCTTTTCTGCCGCCCTAGGCGGCGGAAAGTCCTGCTCCAAAATGCCACCCCCCACAGAGGTGGCGGAAGGTCCCGCCACCAAAATACCGCCGCGGTCGCTGCCCCGCAAACTGTAGTGCCCTAGGCAACCGCCTAGGTCGCCTAATGGGTTGCGCCGGCCCTGTTTACAGAACACCAGCACAGTGCAATTAGGTCATTTGCAGTGTCTTCTAGCCCAGCCATTCAAAACGCTGGAGCCAGACCTCTTAAAAAACAAAAACAAAAAAACACAAGCTTTTTTTTTTTTTAAATATTACATTATTTGCCTTCTGGGTGTACTCAGGTCACACTTTCCAGCTTCTCTTTACAACCACCAGGTCTAGAAATTTTTTTTTAAATGAAAGCTGAGATTCTCATATAATCACCTGACTCCAGGAGTGGAGAAAAACACCAAATACCATGAGACTCAAGATAAAAAAAAATCACAAGAGTAGGCAGCACTAGACTTACTCAAGATCTCACAGGAAGCGTGTGGCAAAGGCAAGAATTGAATCCAGACCTTCTAAGCCCCTTTCACCGTAAAGCCGTCATTCCTTCCAGCAACACAACCTGCGACAGCATCAATCTTGGGCGTCCTTGCTCTGTGGTCACCTCCAGTCAAAGCCTTTTATTGCTGTCCATTTCCACTCACAGCCCAAATTGATGTCCATATAGTTAAAGCGACACATGGTTTATTTACTCATTAGCATATCCAGCTGTTAGCTTTCCTTCTCCCGATATTTCAGGCTAAGTAGTGATTTGACATGAATAACACCCATTCAGCGAGGGGCTGAAAGATATTGTAAATATAAGAAGTCTTAAGCTCCAATAGCTTTTTCAAGTGCTTAGTACAAGCCCTAGTTAGCAGGAGGAGGACGGGGGGGGGGGGGAGGAGAAACACGGAAGAGACCAGTGCCATTACTTAAATAGGCCCATTAAAATGAGCACTGAATGAAATACTGCTTTATTAAACAGATGACATTACATCAGGAATGATGAATCATAAAGTTTCCTTTTGGTATTACAATGGTATATGACCTTTTAAACTTTAATCATTCACCTCATATTCTGAACAGCCATCAGGTGTACAGGCTTCTCTGCTGATTACATGAACATGAGGCCAGCTGGGGAGCTGTTGGCACCCGTTCCCCACAGGCTCTTCGGAAGTAGCTCAGCTTGTGGGGGAGAGAGAAATAGCAGATCTTGCACAGAGTAAGTCAGTGGGGAAACCTGCTCTTTTCTTGCTAGAATGTTAAGGACACCTTAACCATTAGGATGGAGGAGAGATGGTTTCCCAAGGCGATCTTCTAAGGTACTTAGCTTTAACTCCCCAGCACAGTAGAAAAGTGCTTTTATCTCCCTTTTACAGATAGGGAATGGAGGCACAAACAGACCAAATGATGTGCCCAGGGAGACATAGGAAGTCTGTAGCAGAGCAAGGATTTAAATCCAGGGCTCCCAACTGCTTGGTTCATGCCCTAACCACAAGACTATCTGTCCTCCTGTCTCACTAATGGCTTTAACCACTAATCTATTCCACTTTCCTTGTCTTCAGCATTCCAACTCTCCCCCCATCAACCAGCAGCAGTCCTGCCTTACCCACCTCCCCTAAAAATGCCTCCCTCCACTAATAGCCACACATTCCCTGCTGACCTTTGCTGGGCTGCCAGCCGCACCTCTCAGCATACCCACCACTGGTCACTGCTGCAGAAAAACATCACGACACTTAGGCCAGGATCCTCCACTGCCTGCCACTTTGCGCAGTCATTTCATAGCTGTGATGGTAGCTGACATCCACTTGGTACAGGTGCCAGGGAGTGGAGAATCAGGCCCACAGTTTCTTTGGCTGCATCTAAACTAGCAGACTTTGTAGCTGTAATTCACCACTGATGGAAGCCATAGAGTAAACAGAGCTCATGTGGCTTAGTCACCATGTTACCTAATGAGATGGCAGTTTGATAGTGTAGACAAGGCCCTATTGAGGGTAGAATTTTCACACACTTTCCTCTGCAATAGATTTGTCAGAACACCGCTCCGCCTTGCATCCTGGATGTCTAAACACTATGCTAGAGGATGCTTAACAGATTTTTCCACTGCAATTTATCCAGCAGTTAAAATGTGGGATGAGATGAGGGGCAAAAGAGCAAGGCTGGCTCCAAACCATTGAAGTCTACCAACAAACAGTGATTCACTGCCAAAGCAGGGCAGCTGAGTCAGACAGCAGTGCTACATGTAGATCCCATTTAGGATGGCTTTGAAAGCAATCCTATTTTGAACTTTGCTTTTCACCCCCATTGCACAGAAAATAGCCTCCTAGTGGCTTGCTAGACCTGTGGGTCTGAGATAGAAAATGTATTTTCTCCCAGGGAGAGATTTCCACCCAAAATGAGAGAAGGTGTTTGTGCCCCACAAGGCCAATTCCTTCCATATTCACACCTTGGGGTATTTAACTAGGGTCCACTAATTTAAAAAAGCAGGTCACAGCTTCTAGGATTAGAGCCATCTAGCTGCATTGGCAACAGATGGACTGTTCAAGGACTAACCCTCCTCTTTGTCCCCTCTACTGCCTGGTCCACGAAAAGGATGAGTTTATTTGGTAGCACACTTTCCAGGTTTTGCAGGAACAATTAAACCGCTACTTGTTATGCACAGCAAATGGCTTCCTTTGAGCAGTTCTTGTCATTAACTCTTAGCACATCCACCCCCTTTATTCCTGCCCCCTGCTCTCTTCCTCAGGAACATTCACATGGTCTCTGGGGCAGACTGTGTGTGGGAATTATAACATGCGGGGATTGCAGAGATGTTCCACTGTATAGTACTGAGAATTCTGAGTGTCTGAATGTGACTAGAGCAGCTTCCAGATCCACATTAAAGTGTCCCACTGACCTCTCTGAAAGTCATGGGAAATCAGAGCTTGTCAGAGGCTAAATGTAAACCAGCTTCTTAGTCATTAACGCTAGCGCAACAATCTTAAAGAGAACTTCCAGTTGAGATTTTCAAAGCTGCCTAATGGATTTGGATGCTCAGTCTCCATTAAAGTTAATGGGAAGTAAGTGTCCAACTCCCCTTGGGTGGCTTTGAAAATCTCAGCCTTAATGTTCAGAATGTAAATGTTTTCTTTCATTTCTTTAAAGAGGGATGGAGACAAGTTCGGCAACACCAGGGCTCCTGCTCCCACTGCCTTCCCAAGGGGCAAGATAGCCCCCAGCAGCAGCAGCACCACCAGATGTCGTTACGATATGTAGTTTCAAGCGGTGAGACGTGCTTCTGCCTTGAATTTTCAAGGCTCTAGGTTGAGCCCAGATGATCAACGTTTTCCTTTAAGAAAGAAACTGGGGTGCAAAGGGGGAAGTTCTGGCCCAGTTGATATCAAAAGTTCAAGGAATCTTTGGGAGGAAATGTCTCATGACATTTATAGCCCAATGTCTGAACTAAAAGGGCTCATGTAACTTTAAGAAACTTATACAAACTGTGCTGAGTTGTCTTTGTCCCCCTCTAGTGGTTGATGCACATAACATGTTAAAGTCTTCTACTACCCATAGTTAGTAGACTTAATCCTCTATCTCAGGGGTTCTCACTCAGGGGTATGTGTATTCCTGGGGGTACACAGAGGTCTTCCAGGGAGTACATCAACTCATCTAAATATTTGCCTAGTTTTACAACAGGCTACATAAAAAACACTAGCAAAGTCAGTACAAACTAAAATTTCATACAATGACTTGTTTATACTGCTTTATATACTATACACCAAAATGTAAGTATACTATTTATATTCCAGTTGATTTATTTTATAATTATATGGTAAAAATGAGAAAGTCAGCAATTTGTCAGTAATAGTGTGCTGTGATACTTTTGTATTTTTATGTCTCATTTTGTAAGCAAGTCATTTTCAAGTGAGGTGAAACTTGGAGTACGCAAGACAAATCAGACTCTTGAAAGGGGCACAGTCGTCTGGAAAGGTGGTCTAGCTCGAGCATTTGTAGCTCATGCGTTTCGCACTGAAGGTAACAGGTTCATCCCAAGTGGGGTCAATTACAGTAACTATATTGAATTTACACTTGACAGCTCAGTCGAAGACACAATAACCATCAGAAAGGTGTAAGCCCTAAGGAGGGTGAAGCATTCGCTTCATCTAGATTAGAGTTCTAGGACACACAGTTTCATAGGCTGAGTCGTAACAAACACTTGTGGAGCCACTGGTAGTGATACGTCCCTGAGCGGGTAGATGGCAGAGTGGCTGTGTCTAGAGTAAGTTTGTAGTCCTGTAGTTCAGTGAAAAGCATGAGCCTTTGCTGCTTGAGTTAAAGACCCAAATCTGTTAGGAGAGGCTGTAGCAGGCTCATAAACCTCTCTCTGTGGCCCAGCCACCACTAGAGGGGCACAGAGCATCACACTGAGTGGGTGTGGGTTACCATCTAGACTTGCATTTACAATCGGTGTTAGTTAACAGTGAACTACAGATAAAACAGGACTACAAACTCTACTCTAGATACAGCCACTCTTGTGGGTCATCTAAAGGGGTTTAATTGGAGATAATAGAGTTAAAAGGAAATATAGTCTAAATATCAAGAAAAGTGTTCTGCTGGAGTGGTCCTTCTTTGACTGTGGAATAGTCTCCCGGGAGAAATGATGAAATCTCCATTATTTGGGACATCTTTAACACTCAGCACTGGAGAACACTGCATGAGGGACTGAGTTCTCCCGCAGTGGTCCACAGGAGAATGAGAAAGTTCACAATCGCTTGTCCCCACCCCAAAACACTGACATCCTGTATCAATAACTGCATCTTTCTGAGGGAGCCACCACGCTTTGCACAGAATCCAAAATAGGTTCGTGAATCATTCCTGGTATTTAGTATCTCTTGGATTCTTTTCTCTCGGAATGTTATTGTGGGGCTTGTCTATAAATAACCATTTGTGGCATGGCATACTGACATCCAGATTTAAGCAGTGCTGCTCCACTATACAAGCAGGCTGACACGCAGCTTCTATTTTTATATGCTTAGTGATAGAGCCACGTGTCTGTCATCAACAAAAAAAGCAGCAAATATGCAGATACTGTTCCCTCAGATCTCCAATACTCCTCCACCTTCTCATTCAGATCAATGACAAGTGCCAGTTGTCCCCATCTGCTCATCACCTGCCAGCATTTGGGTAACAAACACGTCAAATGCACAACTCAGATTTTCACCCGTGGGAGTTTGTTGTCTTAATAATGAGGTCTTACATTTCTATCATGCCTTTGGATCCTTCTGGATGAAAGGAACTTTAAATTATAAATCCCATCAGGTTTTTCAAGTAAATCTCAAAGCACTGTGCAAAAAAAAAAAGAGGTCAGTATCATTATCCCATTTTACAGATGGGGAAACTGAGGCACAGGACAGGACTTGCCCAAGGTCACCCAGCAGATTAGTTGCAGAGCCAGGAAGAGGACTCTACTGCTCCATACAGCTGTCCCTAATAAACGAACCACTTCATACAGGCCATTCGTAAAACGCAGCCACTTCTGGGGTGGAAAGCATCAGCTGGCTGCTGTGGCCTGTTTTAGGGCAGGAATGTTTTAGGGCAGGAAGCAAAGACTGCCTTACCCAACTGAACATGTGTAGACATGTTAAACTCAGCATTCTTCACCTATCCTGGTAATAAGAGTTGTGATGTCTTCACTCACACTACAGTAACCCAGCCCACACTGTAGCACCCACAGCAGGGACTCGGAAAGGTCTAAGTTAATTATCCGTGTACACATTTGATCAAGACACTGGAGTTAATGGGCCTGATCCCCTGCCCCCACTCTGCACTTTGTGTAGAAAAGTTATTTACTCGTTCCCATAATATAAGAACTAGGGGCCACCAAATGAAATTCATGGGCAGCACATTTAAAACAAATAAGAGGAAGTTCTTCTTCACACAGAGCATAGTCAACCTGTGGAACTCCTTCCCTGAGGAGGTTGTGAAGGCTAGGACTATAACAGGGTTTAAAAGAGAACTAGATAAATTCATGGAAGTTAAGTCCATTAATGGCTATTAGCCAGCATGGGTAAGGAATGGTGTCCCTAGCATCTGTTTGTCAGAGGGTGGAGATGGATGGCAGGAGAGAGATCACTTGATCATTACCTGTTAGGTTCATCCCTCTGGGGCACCTGGCATTGGTCACTGTCGGTAGACAGGTTACTGGGCTGGATGGACTTTTGGTCTGACCCAGTACGGCCGTTTTTATGTTCACCTGTGCGGAGTGGGTGTAGAACACCCTCGAGAGTTAGAAGAATTCTGATTTGGTAGCATATATGTGCAATGGCGGTCTCTGCTTGGACTGTGAAACGTGACAAGGGCACAATCCAAGGTGTCGTGGCTTTCGGGGATGAATTTGGCTCCTCTGAAGTACACAATTACGAATACTTATCCAAACCCTTTTGCTCAGGACAGTTGGCCAGAGAATAGGTTCTCTTGAGATTTCCAAGGCTTCCCATTTCATCTGGCCCAGAAATGCAGAATTTGCAGGATTTTGATCCCTGTGCTCCTAATCCTAGATGGAACTGCAGTGCCTCAAGGGCGCTAAACACAAAACCCAAACTTTATAAAGTTTCATAAAAGAATCCGGTCAAGTTTGGAGCATAGGTTTGGGTTGTGTCTTATTTTATCTGAGCCTGACCACCACATCGCATCTTGTGTCTGTCTCTAAAATCTTTCCTTTTAAAAAGAATAGAGACCTGTTTGTCCATCACGGTGCCTCTTGGGCAGTCATTTACCCCAGTGCAAAGTAGGTGTGTAACCCACACCCACTCAGTGTGGGTCGCCCTCTAGTGATGGCTGTGCCACCAAAAGAGGTTGATGAGCCTACTACAGCTTTGCCTAATAGACCTGGCTCAATCTGTAGTGAGTCAGATTCATGTTTTAAGACCCAGAGGCGCTGGGGATGATCCATGGGTGGGGGAGAGTGGCAGAACAGGTGTAAATTGCTTCACAAGATCCAAGTTAATGGAGAATCAGGCCTGGTATTTTCAAACTAATCATGCCCATGGTATTTATGTGGCCACTTCTCAGGAATCTGTGACTAAGTGTTAAGAAAAAAAATTCATTAAATTTGAAGTGGGTAAAATAAAAGCTCTAGTGCTTTAACAATGGAAATAGCTGATGACGATTGTTGCAACTTAGATAGAAGTGGTTATGACTAATAGTGTTAACAAATCCAATATTAATGTTTCACTTAAAAATTAGCCTAGATTTTGCTACAATCTAGAAGTGAGTCACTTTTCAAGTATCAGAGAAATGTACTTGTTAGAAAGATCTGAAAAATGTTAGATTCACCACCCCCAAAAAAGCTATTCCTTAAGGTCATTTTAAAGTTACTACAACTTAAACTAATGAATAGATATCTTTTTTCACCTCTGTTTCATTCTGTACTCTAAAAGGAAGTGCTGTATAGCTGAGGTGACCACTATGCCATTCATATAAATGAAACCCCAGCTTTTATTCAGTGTCACCACCATCACATCTCCATAATAATTTACAAAATAGTTAATCCTAAAACATATTAAAAGCACATCTTTAAGGTTGCAAAGTCAAGGACTCAAAAGTTAGGAAATGCCAGAATTAAGGTTCCCTGTGCAACCTCAATTTGGCTCCCTTGTACATACGCATTATAATTAAGGTCCTACTTGCATCGCAGGATGTTTGTCAAATAATTGCAGTTGAGTTGCGGACAAGGCATGGAAAATCGCGGAAAAGTAATAACGGACCTTTATTAATTGCGGCTGACAGCCGGAGCCCCTCATATGCCGAGGCTGACAGCGGCGCTAATTAAAATCAAAATTGCGGTGGAAACCTAATAATGCAGGATCTGCAATATCGTGAATTAAATAGGGCCTTAACTGTAAGACAGCCTTTAATTACAGGATCACATACTTTTTTTTTCTCTTTTTTTACAGCAACCTGCCTGACTCAGTGCAAAGGATGGATGATGAGCATGGATTGAGGCAGCTCTTTGTTCTCTTTTTATCCTCCTCATTCCAAGTGCTGGCCAATACTTTGTTTACTGTCTGCCTTCAAAACCCGTCATTGAATGCAGAATACACTATTTCTTCTTGGGCTTTTTTGTGGAGCTCATCACTGCAGTATGAATGAATTTATTATTGCAACGCACCTGCAAAGTAGGAAGGTATTGTTATCCCCATTTCACAGATGGGGAAAACAGTTACCTTTTCGTAACTGGTGTTCTTTGAGATGTGTTGCTCATGTCTATTCCACAATAGGTGTGCGTGCTCGCCACTTGCACCGGTGCCAAAAGTTTTTCCCCTAGCACTACCCCCGTGACCCCTGGAGTGGTGCCTGCCTGGCACGGTATAATGGGAGCTACGTGCTCCCCCCACCCTCAGTTCCTTCTTCCCAGACAACTCCGGCAGAGGGGAAGGAGGGCAGGATGTGGAATAGACATGAGCAACGCATCTCGAAGAACACCAGTTACGAAAAGGTAACTGTCTTTTCTTCTTCGAGTGATTGCTCATGTGTATTCCACAATAGGTGATTCCAAGCTATACCTTCTGGAGGTGGGTAGGAGTTCACAAGTTCTCGGGACGGAGTACCGCCCTGCCAAACCTGACGTATTCCCTGGTTTGGGAGACTATCGCATAGTGCGAGGTGAACGTGTGAACCGAAGACCTCGTGGCGGCCCTACAAATGTCCTGTATAGGGATGTGGGACACGAAGGCAGCCAACGAGGCCTGCACCTAAGTCGAGTGCGCCCTCACAATGGGCAGCGGCCGGCAGGGGGACACCCGCCTGCTCATAACAAGAGCAGATGCACGAACTGATCCAGTTGGAAAGCTGCTGAGTGGAAATCGGCTGGCCTCTCACGCACTCAGCCGTGGCGACAAACAGTTGCAAGGACCTTCTGAAAGGCTTGGTCCGCTCAAGGTAGAAATTAATACGTGTAATGAACAATATTTATATATACTTTTGCTTTGGATAAAAATAGTACCTCGAGTTTCTAGTTGTTGTAAACATTAAATTGGAAGTTTTCAATGTCATTTTATTGTAATTAATTAAAATGAATGAAGCCTCCGCTGCAGGGCTCTACTCTGAAGGCAGTACCACCACCACCACCAGCAGCAGCAGCAGCACAGAAATAAGGGTGGCAATGGGGGCCTGAGGATGGCGAGGCATGGGGGCTTCCCATCCCCTTTGCATGACGATGCAGGGGCTCTCCAGCCATTTGCATGGAGGGTTAGAAGTTTCTAATCCCTTTACGTGGAGAAGGGGAGATGTAGGGGCTGCTCATCCCCTTGTAGGGGTGCATAAGTACTCTGATCCCTCTGCATGGGTGATTTGGGATGATTGGGGGGGGGTTCCCATCCATTGCATGGGGGTGCAGGGAGTGGGTGGGCACTGATGGGGAGACATCTGCTGAGAACAGCACGTCCAGCCATTACTGGGACAATTTTAGAGCCCACAAGACCCACTGCCATCATAGTGGGAGCAGGATAAAAATTCAAGAAACAATGCAGGAGCAGGTGGGAGTGGGTATTGCAGGATGGGATGGGAGCAGGATTTTAAAAAATAATTCTCCCACGCTGAAGAAAACATGAACACCCTGGTGGCCAGCAGCTGCCACTCTCTGGCCACCCAGCTCTGTAGTTCTGCGCTGCTGCTGGCGGCAGCACTGCCTTCAAAGCTGGATGGCCAAAGATCAGTGGCTGCTGGCCAGGGACCCTGCTCCCACAAATATAGAAGCCAAACTATGCCTATGGTTATCTGCCATTGCAGCATTTTTCCTGTGTACCCCCAATGACAGCTTACATGCCCCTGCTTGAAAACCACTGTGCTAGGTCCCTACATTCTGGAACCCTAGCCCCTAGACCCATACCCTTTGGAATCCTAAACATATGCCGTGGAGCCCTACACTTTACAATGCTAACCCTAGGTCTTTGAGCCCTACCCTTTGGAACCCTAATAGAGGGAGCCCTACTCTTTGGAACCCTAATAGAGGGAGCCCAGGGGGAGGGATAGCTCAGTGGTTTGAGCATTGGCCTGCTAAACCCAGGGTTGTGAGTTCAATCCCTGAGGGGCCCATTTAGGGAACTGGGATAAAAATCTGTCTGGGGATTGGCCCTGCTTTGAGCAGGAGGTTGGACTAGATGATCTCCTAAGGTCCCTTCCAACCCTGATATTCTATGATTCTATGATACTCTATGGAACACTAACCTCCACCCGGGGCACCCAACCCTTCAGAACCCCAACTCTAGCCTGGACCCCCCTGCTCTTCATAAACTTACAAGCAGCCTGGGGAGCTTCAGTGACTTTGCGGGGGAGGCTGCCCCTGTGTTGTCTGAATGGGATCGCTGTCCGGGGGTCATTGGCAGACAGGGTCATTGGCAGGGCTAGCATCCTCCTGAGTTTCAGGGGCACTCGGTGTCCCTCCATGCTAGGCCAAGGGACAGTCTCTCTGGACATGCCCTGCATCTCAGCAGAGGACACACCAAGCCTCACCCACAGAGTAATGGACCTGGTACAGGGCACTCTGATAGGGCACCAGGAAGAACCCCTACAAGCTATCCCCACCTCACACTGCTGGCAGTAGCTGAATTGTGACCTGATGGTGTAACAAGAGGATGGGGTCCTTGTAGCCCAGCAGGAGAGGGTTGATGATGGAAATCAGCTTCCCCAGATCACAGAGGGGAATCACGAGGTCAGCATTGGGGAGGGAGGGTGGGACAGAGGTGAGTATCACACAGACAACCACGGCCTCCAGGGGGACATAGAGGCCCCCTACCCAGAGGCCTTTCTCTACCACCTCCTGGGCGGTGGCCTTTGATGCCAGGAAGAAGATGACCTTCCCGTGCATCCTTGAGGCTGTGGGCCCACCACCCGGGCCAACGCCCACATGTGGGTCGTGACATGGGGCAAGGCAGCCAACATGAGGCAACAGAGGTCTGCTTCCTGGACAGGATGGGGAAGGAGCCTTGGCCACCAGGGATGTTAGGAGAGAGGCAATGGGGGTAGCAGCGGTGGGCAGAGGGGCCAGGGCCACCTGGCTATATGTTCTAGTGGTTAAGGAGCAAATGCCTCCAGAGATGTTTTAGGGCATGGCAGGGGGAGAGGGAGCTGCGGCTGACGGTGGGGCTGCTTTGGCAGTAGTGGCCGCCATGGTGGCAGGCTTCACCTACCAGCAGGGGGCCAGGGGGCTCGTGCTCTTTTTCTTCCCTGGGCCCTTTCTGCTGGCTCCCTTGCTGATGATGGAGGCGGGAGGAAGTTTGGCAGCGTTGGAGTCCCCACCTGTGCCTTTAATGTCCTTATTTTGTCTGGAATTTCCTAGGTTTTTAAAACTAGCACTGTGCTCCTCAATTTCTGTCTTGAGTACCCATAAAGGGCCCCTCTTGAATTCTCAGCAGGGTTTGAACCAAGGATTTTTAGTATTACAGCACAGACCTGCTCTACGGTTACCTGGTGTGTGGACCAGGCTCTAGGGGGAGGAGTCACCCACTCTGCCAGAGAGTCACGGCTATTTGCTAGAGAGCACTAGAACATTGGCCAGGGAGACACCTGGGTTCTGTTCCCGGCTCTCTTAGAGAAGTGTAGTCTAGAGATAGAGTAGAGGTCAGAGAAAGGCTAGCTAAGCACACTGATTAGGTACAGTTATTCTGAGGTGCAGTTTGGTTGATTAGAAGAAACTTGGGTCTGCTATATTTGAGACCTACATCCTATTCCCAGTTCTGCTAGAAGTACCCAAGCCAGTGGGCTAATTCTCTGGCCTGTGCACTGAAGATCAATCTCTAGCCACAGGATTTCAGCCCCTTTGCTTCAGGAGTTCGCTTTTATTTCTTCAGAATAAAACCAATTATCACAAGTTCAACACACTCATCATATCCTTTCTCCTCAGCCCAGGGTCTTCTTCAGAAAGCTGTCTACTCCCCCACTGGATTGCACTCTGCAGGCTATCTGCCTGGGAATCACATACAAATTGGGTTCTTTTCCATAACCCAGAGGACTTCTGCAGGAGCCTTCCTAGTCCCTGCTGCTCTCCCTAGCAACTGAGCTCTTGCTGGCTTTTATGAAGACCAAGCTATCGCCTGGTCCCTGGCCTCAAATGGGAGGCAGCTGATTAGTCACAGGTGGGGTTGTCCCAACTCCCCTTAAAGGACAGCCATTCTGTGACAGTGACCTTGTGCTTAAAGATATTATGAAATGCACAGAAATATTAAGGCTAATTCTGAGGTTTGCTTTCCTGCATCCCAGGCAAGTACACCTTCCTCTAGTCTAGGCTACAGGATATACTGAGGGAGAGCAAGCAGACTGGTTGGTACAGAGAACTCAGTGAGGCTTGCAAGCATTTGCAGTGCAGCTGGAATATTCAGAAAACAAAGGGGGAAGAGTTGAACATGCTCTTGAGCACATGTGCTTATAATTTAGCCCAATGGGGGCAGCAAATGACTGACAAACTTCAAGTCCTTTCTTCAAAGCCTGGAGGCACCAGAGCTCTTCAAAGAAGTGCTTGGAAAAATTGGTTAATATTGGCAAAACTACCTATTTTTCCTTAACCCCATTCTGTAAAACAGCTAAACCATTTCTGATTGAACTTTTCAAAAATATTCCTTTGTAGGCAGAGATCCAGCCAGAAATTCAGTCCAAATGCTTAAAAGTTTGGCAATACTATAAGGAACTGAAAACAGAGGCTCATCGGGAGAGATGTTAAGGTATTGCAGGCTGCATGGAACTTGGAGGGAGGCACACAGGTTGTAGGAGGGAAGAGCATGGAGGAGGCACCCAGAAGTCAGTCTGTCTGCACATGGCTTTAATGCTAGCTGCAGTTGCAGCATCTCTAAATAGTTCTCTTAATAAAGTACCATTTTTCTAAAATTAAACTGAGTACTCTCATGTTATTACCCAGTATGCAGCACATGAAACAACAGGAGGTGTTACCAGCTCTGCTTATAATGAATGATATAAAAATGACAAAACCTGTTTTTTTTAAAAAACCCAGAAATTTTGAAATCATTCCTCAAAAGTTTACTGGTATTTTGAAACTGAAAATTTTTGAATAATTCTATTGCTGGTTGAAGAACTGAAAAATCCAATGGAGATTTTCACTGAAAAATCAGCATCTTCCCTCCTGTTCCCCCAATTAAAATTTGATTTTGACCCCAAAAAAAGTTAAGCTACAGCTAAGCAAAAAGTCAGAAGTTCTGTCCCAAGGGAAGTGGATCTTTGGCTTGCAACACAGGAACGGCTCACCAACTCTTGCTTTACAGGTCACATTGTCACTGGGAGCTCAGAGTGGACTGAACTCAGCACAAAGCCAGCAGAACTGCCACAGATCTTACGGACAATAGCAGGAACAGTCTGCACTTGCACTACCAGATCTAAATAATGTGGTTCAGGTCCACCTCTAGCATGGGCTAGCAGGAAACCCTTAGCAGATCCACAGCTGGGAGCAACCTGCCTCCCCAAAACTAAGTAAGAATAAAGGAGAAGTTCACATGAGAAAACTCAAAAACAGGTTCCTAGCTTGTGACACAGGGCCTGCTCCCCTCTCATGCACACCCAACGCAATGCCCATTGATTTGGGGGTAACGATCTCAGAACCACAAGATGACTGATTAAAAGAATGTGCAGCCCATTTCTCTTGTAGATATGGTTCCTGAGTTGTCTCAGGTCCTGCAGCCTCAGCAAAACTAAGATGAACAGCTGAGTATAAATCCGACAGCAAAGCACATCCGCTCTGCTAGATTCATAAGAGCAGGAACTAGGTGGGCAGGGGTGCTGCAGCATCCCCAGGTTTTAAGCATGGCTCTGCTTCTGGCCCTGCACCCGGGTTCCCGGCTGCTGGCCCCATGCCCAGGGCTCTGCACCTGCCCCAAGCTGTGGCCCCAGCTTTGGCCCCCTTAGCCCTATCCACATCCCCCCTTCCCAGAGCCACAGCCCTGCTCCCGGCCCCAGCTCTAGGGACAAGAGGGGGCACAGCACCCCCACTCTAAAAGACGTTCCAGCGCCACTGGCTAGATTATCTCAGCCTGTTTATGATTTTCGATAGGCAGCTTAGAAACACTTAACTGTCCCCAGAGAA